GTTTTTTCACACTCTCGTGCTGACCAGTATTCTGAGTACTCAAGAGGGCCCTTCTGCAGATCTCCTGGGTTCTCTGTGCAGCTTTATTCTGGTATTCTGTCTCATGAACATGAGATGCCTCAACTTCTAACTCCTAGCTCAGACCCTTCAACCCTTCAGTTTCCTCCCTGTTCCACTGCCCAGAAACTCTCACAAGGCAGTAGTAAGCCATCTTATTTGTTTCCCATCTCTTAGGGATTGCTCTTTCAATGTTTGAGTTTTAATTTTTTTTTTTTAAGATTCAGGTTTGAGACCAAATCCATGCACTTAACTCCATTTGACCAGAGGCAGAAAAAATTCCTGCATTTTTTTTTAAGCTTATGGAATACCCAGCAGGTGAGCATAGAGGCTGAGATTGTATCGATGAAACAACTGAATCTAAACCCTCCCTTGCATAGATAACAAACTAAAGGTTTGGAAAGAAGTAGTGGAGGTAATCAGAACCAGATTCTATCCCTTAAATCTTGGTCTAGTTATCTGACATCATTCTTTGCTCTGTATCTTCTTTATCTTGCCAAGTTACTTTCCATTTTCGACTATTTTTTTTTAAGATTTTATTTATCTGAGAGGGAGCGAGAGAGAGCAGAGCAGGAGGGAGGAGCAGAGAGAGAAGCAGGCTCAATCCCAGGACCCTGGGATCATGACCTGAGCTGAAGCCAGACACTTAACTGACTGAGCCACCCAGGCGCCCCTAGACTAATATATTTTCAAACAAAATAACTTTAAAAAATTTTTTTATTTAAATTCAATTAATTAACATGTATTATTAGTTTCAGAGGTAGAGGTCAGCGATTCATCAGTCTTAACATAATACTCAGCCCTCATTACATCATGAGCCCCATTACATCCATCACCCAGGTACCCCATCCCCCCACCACCCCCATCCCCTCCAGCAACCCTCAGTTTGTTTACTATGATTAAGAGTCTCTTATGATTTATCTCCCTCTCTGATTTCATCTTGTCAAAATACATGTTTTTTAAAAAGAGAATGTGCATCAATATCCAGACCTCCATGTGATCTTGAGACTGCTCCTCCCCAACCTTGGCAAAAAGTTGGAAGCTTTTTCTCTAGAGGGGGTAGGTTTCTGGGGTAGAAAGGCCTTCTCAGAGACCTGGAAGACAAGTGAACCTAGGCATACTAGAATGCTGAAGCTCCCTAGCCCTCTTCCTTCACTGAGTTCCCACAAGGCCAGCAGCAGTTCAAGGTAAACCCTCCAGACATGAAACTGGAAGTTTCCTCCAGGGAACCTGACCAGTCCAAGAGGAAAGTCCTCTAAAAGTAGTGGACATTAGGGATTTGCCAAAAAAAGTTCAATCAGCTCATCTTACAAACACATATTCTTCTTACTATCACACCTGTAAATATAAGCACACTACCAATGATTGCCAGGCAGCTAAGGAAAGTCTATAACATGAAAGACTAAAAGCAAAACAAAAAGGGAAAACAAAAACCACGCAGGAGATGAGAGTTTTCAACAAAACATATTAATGTTCTCAGAGATAAGATGTTGCAACCATGGAATGAGGTCCTAATTTAAAAAAAAAAAAAAAAAGGAACACTTAGACCATCAACAGGAAATTTTCCATAAAGGAGATCAAAAAGTCAAGAAAATAGGAGGTGGTAGGGACAGAAAAAATAAAAACAGAGATAAGTCCAGGAGATCCAATATCTGAACAGGAATTCCAGAAAGAAAAGCCAGAAACTAAAGGAAGGAAATCATTAACAAGGAATTCAAGTTTCCCAGAAGTGAAGGACCAGAGTTCATTCTGAAAGGGTTCAACAACAGCCTAGCACTGCATGAAAACAGACCTTCACCAAGGCATGCCACCCTGAAATTTCAGAATGCCGGTGACAGAAGGGAGAAAGAGTCACATACAAAGAATCAGGACTCAGAACGGCTTGACTCTTCTAACAGAAACACTAGATGGTAGGTGAAAAGTAACAATGCCTTCCAAACTGTAAAGGAAAATAAATTCCAAACTGGAATTTCACACCCAATCAAGTATGAGAGGAGACATTTTTCAGACATGCAATTCACTCAAACTACTTTCCATGCACATCTTTTACTGCAAGCGTTCTACTAGAATGAGGTAATAAATCAAGGGAAAGTGGGGACATGGAAAACAGGAGACTCAGCAGGGGAGAGCCCATGATGACAGCACTATGTTAAGCATAAGGGAGAGCCAATCCAGATAGGGCAGGTCAAGAAATCGATAAAATAGATGTTAATGTCCTTAGAGAATTTGGGTTGAATTAGTGACAAGTAGAGAGAAAACTAAGCTAATAACTAATAAAAATGCAAGAGGATTACTAATTCTAGGGATAAGAAAGTTCTGCAGGAAGGTAATCTCATCCACTACATGGCTCAGCTGTGATTTAAATACCCAGTCATAGTAAACACTTAATATATGACCCAACTAGAATTATACCAGGGAGATGGGTGATGGGGAGTACATGCATGGTGGGCAAGAGGGAGAGAAAAGTCAAATGATAATGCCTACAATGCAAACATCAATAAATAGCCATGCACACGTTTAAATTGAGACCTGGTGGCAAATATAAACTTACCAGCCAAGAGTTGAAAGGGAATACCGTGAAGTGGGGTAAACGGGGAAGGGCAGATAGGGTAGGAGAGTTGCTGTTTTTCATAACAAACCTCGCAGGACTATTTGCTTTTTCAATGCAAAATAAGATTTTCTTCCTAAAATGCAGGATATAAAACTGTTTACAAACCTATTTTGTTAATTTATTGTTTTTAAAAGTTTCAAAATTTTGCAAGGGCCTGCGTGGGTTAGTGGGCTAAGAGTCTGCCTTCGGGGCTCAGGTCATGATTGTGGGATCCTGGGATTGAGCCCTACACCAGGCTCACCGCTCAGCAGGGAACCTGCTTCTCCTCCCTCTGCCCCCGCCCCACGCTTGTGCTCTCTCAAAATCTTCATAAAAAAATATTTTAAAAGTTTCCAAATTTTTACTGTGCACATTTAATTAAAAACGAAACCATAAATGGGAGCTCCACTTTTCGGGATCTAGGTAGGGTTACAGCTAGTTTTTACTGCGTGTAGAATCATGCAAGACTGGTATTCCTGCATGGTTCCCAAGGTAAACCATATCCGGTCAGCTTTTTATGCAATTCATGTGTTAAGTATAATGTGTTAGTAAAGTCTTATTTACTATAAAAGTATGATAATTTAAGCAGTGAGCATACTAAAATAACAGATTCTAGTCCAGGATATCAAAATGTGGCCACAGACCTACTGAATCAGATCTACCTAGCTTGGGTGGCAAGGGCATTGCTTAAAATGCAGATTCCTGGGCCCTACCCCAGACCAATTATTCAGCAATCTCTACCGGTAGGGCCTTGGAATTTTCATTTCTAACAAGATCCCTAAAGTGATGTTGAAAACTACTGCTCTCCCTCACTTTGTTAGTAATTCAATAGTGTTCATTAATAAGCCAATAAATCAATGTCTGTAAATCAAGCTCACAGGCAGGGAGGAGGAAAAGGAATCCATGAAGGGTAGTGGATACCACCATGTCTACCTGAAAGAATTCTACTTAAAACACTTCAGAGAAATTCCACTCCATATGTAACTCAATGTACAAGTTTCTTTTCTTATCAGAAACAATATATTAACTCTTGGTCAAACCTAAAACAAATGAACTCTAACTCCATTCACATGAAGTTCATTTGAAATGGTCCCCAGTCCAGGAGCCCTTCCACTGGGGTAGCACAGCCTGCAGGGCCATCAGCGTTCATCCAAATGTGTCAGAAGAGCAGGGGCTGCTGGAGCAAGAGGTGCAGGGGTTGCTCTGGGGGATGGGTCTCTGAAGCCTTATTTCCGGGCCTGCACTATCTGACCAACACTCTGAGGCTTATTCCTTAGTTCTTTGTTACAGAAATAATGCAAGGTCTGTTAACACAGTGGTAGTGTCATGACTATAAGGCAAAGCTTGTTAGAAAACCCCTACTTGATGCCTAGTTAACAGATGTGTTGGATTTTCTTCTTCTTTTATTACTTGAACAATGTGTCCCATGAGCAATGTTCTAAGGGCAATTAATCAATCCCTTTTCCTCGTAATAGTTCTTGCTGAAGCTCACCCTATACTGAACCTGTGGCAAGACCTCTTTTCAGTACTTGACTTCTTCAAGCCTGCTTTTCCAATTTCTGTGTTTTTGTCAGTTATTCACTTTGCATACCTTGTCCTCTCTACCTCTGCTACATTAAAAGCCATGACTGTGCCACTGCATGCCGAGATGCTCTGACAAATGCCTAAGAATCTGTCCCCACAAATCAAACACTGCTTATGAAGCCACTGTAGGAGCCACAGATGCCACTAGGATTCCCTAAATTATCTTTTAATATTAGATTACTTTTGCCAAATGCTGAACCACTAGGGTTTCCAGGCTACAAAGATGAGAATGGTGGACTTTTTCATCGGCCAGGAGCACTCATGCGGTGTTAAGCTGAGCTGATGAAATCTCTACAAAGGTTACCTGAACAAAGCACGGTACAAATGCTTGTGTCTGAAGACCAATGAGACATCTATCTGTGTGTTCTTGGAGTTTTTCCGAGGGTTTAACCAGCAACTGGCCTGGAACAGTAACTTAAACTCTTATCAGTAACTGTGCTATTTCAAAGTACTGGCGTTCTCCCAGGATATCTTCCTGGGTGTCAAAATTTAACCTGCTGCCAAAGCAAACAGAACATCAAACCCCACAATGAACACCCAGTCCTTATTTTTTCAAAAAGAAAAACAACAGGGGCACCTGGGTGGCTCAGTTGGTTAAGCATCCGACTCCTGGTTTCAGCTCAGGTTGTGATCTCAGGGTCGTAAGACTGAGCCCTGTATCCGGTTCAGTGCTCAGCATGGCGTCTGCTTGGGTTTCTCTCTCCCTCTCCCTCTGCTCCGCACGCCCCACCCCCCAACATGCTCGCGCTCTCTCTGATACATAAATCTTAAAAAAAAAAAAAGAAAAGCAACAACAAAAAAGACCACCATATTTATTTAGTGTAACATTTCCCCTGATCTAAAGAGAAAGATGTCAAAAGAAAATCTAGAACATATACATAAGCACACACCCCCCTGAACCCAGATAACCTGAAAGAAAAAAAAACGGCAAAGTTCTGTTCAACAGATAAATTTATCTTCGCTTCTGGAAGATGTTTCCACGCCCCATTCCACGTCCTCTTCCTCTCGCGGCCACTGAAAGGTGGGAAAGAAAGGATAAGGCCAGGTCAGTGCAGTCAGCCAATGCTCATGCCGCGGAGCAGCCAGAGCCCTTGGACACGGGCACAGGAAGGGGCCTGAAAGGCTACCTGGTCCAACACCTTGCCCACCCCATGGCATTTCCTCATTGCACGAGGACTCGTGGCTGGCATCAGAGTTGGAGTGCCTTCCAAAACTCCTGCCTTCTGGTCCACCACTGCTCTCAACATGAGGCTGGGAGTCAGGGTGTTGAGAGCTAAGGTGGTTTGGGGAGCAAGCCTGAGAACCACAGAAAAGATGAATTCCCAGCGCTGGCCTAGGGTGAGCTAATAAAACACAACAGATGAACTTAATTCACACTTAAAATTCTGAAACAAACATTTAAATAGTAAACATTGTTAAATCTGGGCAACAGGTTTTATTATTTTTTAAGCTATTCTGCAATATAAAATGTTTCATAATAACAAAACAAACAAATAAAACCACTCCCCATTCAAAGGACATACAAGCTGCTGTTCTCTGTGACTCCAAGAGTTCCAGGAGAGGTCCAGTGGCTTTGAAGGAAAGGTGAAAATATTCTGATGGCTACTAATTGGAGCCTTACCCCTCTTCCCTCTCCTAGAGCCCCTTGAAGAGGGAGGAAAGTCACCCAAGAGCCCAGCCACATGCTGAAAAGAACCAGAGCAAGGGACTGACGGAGGCACAGATGGCTCAGGCAGAAGCCAGTGGGCCTGGGCAAACTCATTGCCAAGTGCCTTCTAGTGCACAGCTACTGGGCTGCACCTTTGTTAGAGATGATGGTGCAGTTACACAGTGACAATGAGGGCAGCCCTTCCCTGAGAAAGCAGGGAGAACAGCAGTTCTAACAGGAAAACCAGTATTCCTGAAAACCAAAAGGAAACAAAAGGTCCAGAGCTTCCAGTTCTACAAATGCCACTTATCTAGGAAGGGAAAGGAGATTCTCCCATCAGTGTTTCTGAAGGACATTTTAAAGGATTACTCTATTGCACCTTTAAACTCAAAAACTACCTCATATATAAAATATGCACAGCAAAAAAAGATACTGAAGGAGGATCCAGTGACTTTCCTGCACTACAAATCTTTTTACCGATACTCAGATAGTTTCTAATGAATGCACTTGCTTCCTAGATAATAAACATGGCAGAGCTTTTCACGGACCCAAAGATAAAACCTCTGACTGGGCTAACCCAAAAGAAAGGCCAGACTAAGGAAGGTCAGTGGATCACTGGGGACATGCTAAAGGAGGGATTTATTTTCAAATATAAGAATATTTGAAAACAGAAGTCCAGTCCCTATAATGGGTAAAGATGGCTTAAAACTGCTTATTTCTTACGTGAAAATGGATCCCTACCGTCCGCATTTCGCCCCACTTACGCTGGGTGTCCATAAACACCCCCAGCTCTCTGGCAACTGTTGCCCCACTGCTTTAGGTGGCAGCTAATCCATACCACAGTGCCCCTGCTCAGCAAACTAGATAAGAGCAAGCCTCCCCCAGACTCTTTGTGGACAGAATTTCTGGAAACAAAGGGGCTCCTGGAAATTCATGATAGGAGACTGATCCATTCTCTCATTTAAGACGTGTCCCCTTCTTCTTTCTAAGGGGGTACTCTGGATTTTGCATAAGCCCTATGATTGTGATCAGGTGAGGCAAGACAGAGAAGAGACATGGCCCCCAGCTCCTCAGAGGTGGGGGCCCCAAGACTACAGGGTGGCAGTGGGTGTGGAGATGGCTGAAGTCCAAATCCACCCCCCATGCCCAGGCAACTGACAGGGCCCTTTCCTAAAAGATACAGGACAAACACATATGTTAAAAACAGTGCAAGAGGAGCACGTACCTTGGGCCTTCAGAATAGCAGCTTTTCCCCGGCCAGCCCCTGAGCCTTGGTTTTTATTTTTCATGCTCTTTAACATGGGCGCATTTTTCAGCATGTCAGGCAAAATGAGAAAGCGGATCTTGCTGCCACGGATGTACACCTGCTCCAGCTGTGCCACCCGGCCGTCTCTGTATGTGACTGTGATGTTGGACATCTGGAAGGGAATCACCAGCTCATCAACAAGGGCCAACAGCACCAGCAGACAAGGACACACAAAGAGGGGGAGCCTTGGCTGGTGGTAGGGGAAGTCCAGAAATGCACAAACCAACATCATGAAATAAAGGAGCCAGGCAAAGCACTTCACATATTTGGTCTTCACAGCACCTCCAGGATAGGCTATGGGCATTCCCATTTTTACAGATTAAAAAAACCTAAAGCACTTGTCCAAAGTCCAACAGCCAGAATGGAAGAACCCAGATTCAAATCCAGCTGGCCTGACTCCAGAGCCCTAACTCTGGATACTGCCTCCCTTGCCAGCATGTGAAGGGTTCTCATGGTGAAAAACTCTAATCGAAACAGCTGTGAACTGCTTGTCCAAACTCTGTCCTGTCCTGCATCCGCCCGGCACATACACTGCTGAGGCACCACAAAGGTCATGAGCGTGCACCAGAGGCAGCTCCTATCCTCCCAGAGTGCACACTCGAGAAAGTGGGACAGAGCCCCTCTAGCTTCAATGACTAAGAATGAGAAGTATAGGGGGCAGTGCCTATACGAATGGCTCAGAATACTGGGAGAGGTGTAAGGTGAGAGCCTATACTGAGAGACAGGACACTTGGGCACGAACCTACAGGATACAAGGACTGGAGCAGGGCAATTGGGAGAGGGGAAAAAAGTTATCACCTTGGGAGACTATAGGGCTCATTCATTTGTGGACAGAGGGAGAGTGGATAGGGTTAGGATAGCACTTTGGAAAGATCAAATAGGCCAACATGGATAAACTGTGGGATGGAGAGACAGGGAGCCTAGAGGTGAGACCAGCCAGCAGACGGGCTTGGCATAGGAAGGGGACCTAAACTTGCCAGTGCCAACCTCAATAGGCACATTTACCCCAAAAAGGAGCTTATTTTGAGTCTTCTGGATGAAACAGTATATACATTTATTCAGAAGAGGTCAAAGCCCACACTGTAAAGAGAGGTGCTGTCTCCCCAGATTGCTGACTGGCTTGTTGCCACCTTATACTCATTCTTTTCCTCAAAGTGCTAACTGGCCACCCAGCCTCTGCTTGAACACCCAGTTTGCAAAAAGACTAACAACACTCTAGGGCCATCCTCGCTAAATCTGTGCAGTTGGAACAGCCTGTAGAGCTTCAACCCACTGCCCCTGTTCCACCCTCAGGGGTAATAGGGCTCAAGTTTCCCATAAATCTTCTACTCCAGGCTCAACATTCCCAGTTTCTTAACCAACTCCCGCACAGGTTCTAAATCCTTGCCATTCTGTTCTTGCCTCAAAGAACACCATAACCTCTGGAGGCGCCTGGGTGGCTCAGTCAGTTAAGTGTCTGACTTCAGCTCAGGTTCTGATCTTGGGGTCCTGGGATCGAGCCCTGTATCGGGCTCTGCCATCCAGCAGGGAGTCTGCTTCTCCCTCTGCCCCTCCCCCTGCTTGTGCTCAGTCCCTGAAATAAATTAAAAAAAAAAAAAAAAAGAATACCATAACCTCTGGTGCCACAGTGAACATGAAGTATGACTAACATAATATAGTCATATTGAGCTCAATATATCATATATTGAGCATAAGTGCTCAATAAAACTCAACTTTTATTGAGCACTTATTAGTATCCCAGGCAATTTCACATCGTAACTCCTACAAATCACACGATTCTACAAGATAGAGATCATCGCCATCCCCACTAGAGATGAAGAGGCACAGCCAGCAGAGGCAGGCCTGTCCTTAGAGGCCACACTCTTACCCACTCTCTATTCTTCTAAGGTCACACTACCTGTGTGGCCTACAGAGCACTATAAACTCAGGTCTAACTCTAAACCCACCACCTGAAACCATACATCAGATCACCACTTCCTCATCATCATTCATTCTGAAACCATACATCAGATCACTTACTTCCTCAAATAGTTAAGGAGCAAACTGAATGAGACAAATATGTCTAAACGCTGTTCCTATTACCGAGCATATATTAGAAGCTCAGTAAACAATGAATCTAAATGACAGTCAACACATCTATTTTGGAGGCTATGCTACTGCTAAGCTACTTCTCCTCCAGTACATTCCAGTACATACATCTCACCCCCTTCCTCTGCTACAACCTCCCCAACCCACTTTGAGAATCCCTGACAGAGGGTGTTCTATAAGACCAACAGGACCAACAGTCCAGCATCAACTGACTCCTATGACAACCCTAACAATGACCAGGTTGGCTACCGTTCTCATGCGCCCCCCTGCAGCACCAGCAGAGAAATGGCTGTGCTGTGTATAAAACCCCACAATCCCGCCCACCTATACAGCTTGTTAATAAGCCCAAGCTATGTCTGCATCATAAGCCAAAGGCAACAACTTGAGTGAACTAGGTTTCAATGAAGTCAGGTAGGAACACCCACTCTACTCAACCTTCCCACTTTCCCAAACACCCATAATGAAACAGGTGGCATAAACCAGGTGCCCAAGTGAAATGACATCTTGGGGGAGAGAGATCTTAGTACAGTCAAAACTGTGGGAATTTCCTCACACATCAGAGGCCAAGAGGAGAGCACTAACTCCAGGACTATAAAGCAATGTTGGCATGCTTTAGGGTCATCAATCACAACATCCCTGTTGTGGGGCACACAGCAAGTGCTCAACAAATGTCTGGTCCCCTCCCCTACCATTAATAGCAGAGCCTCCCTCTTTTGCTCCCTTCTACTCATCTTCTTGCCTGAAATCTGATAGTCAGAGTGAGGGTCTGATACTTCTAGAAGCAACGGGACCTAGCAGGTTTATTATACACCTCATCTTCAGAGACTACGGTTAAGATCAGAATTTTGGGACTCAGAGACTTGGATTTAGATCTGTTCCTTCTATGCTTGGTCACCCTGGGCATCTGGAAGCTTGTCCTCAGAGAGGTCCTGTGATAACTGAAAGATCGACTGTACATAAAAAACACTAGCATAGTGCCTGGTACAAAATAAGCATGCTATGAATGGAAGTTTCTGGTACTACTTTTTTTTCCCCTTTATTTATTTATTTTAGAGAGAGAAAGAGACAGAGCACGCGTGCTCGAGAGGGTGGGGGGAGGGGAAGAGGGAGAGAATCTTCAAGCAGACCCCACCACCACCGCTCCCCTTCACCGCCCACTGCTGCTGGGTGCAGAGCCTGACATAGGGCTTGATCTCATGACCTGAGCTGAGCTGAAACCAAGAGTGGATGCTTAACCCACTGTGACACCTAGGCGCCTCATGAATGGAAATTTCTGGTATTATTAAACACAGCCTTTTGGAGACAGCTCGTAGCTTGACACGTTAAACTAAGACTTTTTAAAATATTTAACAGTACCCAGATCTTGGTTTTTAAATTCTACTCCCAACCAAAAAGAAACCAAGGCTACCTCAAGAAATGGCTAATTCCAGAGCTGAGTTAGGGAAGGTAAAAGATGAGCCTGCAACAAACATCTTCTTCCAGAAGGGTAAGGATGTGATCCCCCAAAATGGCCAGGAGACACCAAAAGGACACAAAAGGAGTCATCTTCTGGACAAATTTGGGATAAATCAATCAAAATAATGATAGTAACAGATTATAACCCATTTAATGAAACAGAAACCCATGAGCCTATACTGATGATAAATGAATGAATAAATGGGGAATAAGGGAAGGCTCTTCCATACAGCAGATCTAGTTAATATAGAATGATGGAGTTATAAACAAAAACCATTCTAGGGCGCCTGGGTGGCACAGTGGGTTAAACATCCGACTCTTGGTTTTGGCCCAGGTCGTGATCTCAGGGTCGTGAGATCGAGCCCCACTCTGGAGTCCACGTAAGATTCTCTTTCCCTCTCCCTCTGCCCCTCCCTCTTACGTGCGCTCTCTCTCTCTCTCAAATAAATCTTAAAAAGTAAAAAAAACAAAAAAACATTCTTTTGCAACCGTTATGGTAAAAAGATTCAAGCAAGAATCTTCACTGGATGCTAAAAGGGGGGTGGTGGAGGTGCTGATGAGAAACAGAATACTCACAAGATATTTACTTAAAGAACCTCCCTCACAAAATTCTCATTAGTTGCAAAAGGAAAAAGAACAGACAGTGGAGAGACCACACAACACTTCAACCAAATTATCAAGGTTAACATGCACCAATAAGGGGCAAACAAGTGTTTTGGGTCTCCTGGTGACACCTTGAGGAGAAGTCGTCACTTACACAGTAACAGCCAAAACAACACAAACAAAACAAACCCCAAATCCAATCATGAGGAAACACCACAGAAACCCCAATCAAAAGACATTCTAAAACAAGTAAGTGGTCATTATTCTTCAAAACTGTCAATGCTGTGAAAAGCAAAAGCAGAAGAACTGTCCCAGACTAAAGCAGCGCAAAGCAAGCTGATCACTAAGTATAATACATAATCCTGAACTGAATGGCACAGAGAGGAAAACACTGCATATACAAATAACATATAGATAAGTAGCTTTTCATTCTAGCTAGAAAGCGTATCTGAAGAAATTCCCAACCACCTGCGTTCAGAATTTTCAAAAAACTTTCCTGATGTTAATTCTGGGCAGTTTTCTGACAGTCATGTGAGGGCTTCTCTCAGGTTATCATTTTTACAGAAAGAAATCATGCACAGGCCATTTTCTCACAGACCATTATTCCATAACCAAAAAAATAGCGTTTGAACAGTCCAGTGATGGGGTGATCATGCTAAAGCCCCAAAAGCACCATTTATTTCGGTTCCAGGAGAGTCTCTGAACTCTATCACCCTCTCCCACCAAAATTTCCAAGAATTATGTTGCTTTAAGAAGTGATATTTTGGGTTTGACCATTTACCCTCTTTTTTTTTAATCTTTTATTATTAAGATTTTATTTATTTGACAAAAAGAGAGCGAGCGAGAGCAGGGAACACAAGCAGGGGGAGTGGGAGAGGGAGAAGCAGGCGTCCCGTGGAGCAGGGAGCCCGATGTGGGGCTCAATCCCAGGACCCTGGGATCATGCCGAGCCAAAGGCAGATGCTT